CCTTCCATGCAGGGAATAGTATTCAACACAATTTACCTGTTTTGCCTGGTTTTAAGTAAAAACCTATTATTTACCAAGAAAACAAATACGCATGTAGGGCAATGCAATAAATCTTACTATATACTATAAGAAAATCAAAGAGATGGTTGGGTAGAATGCGACCATTGAAAAAGGTCTGGTAAAGCCTCAAAAAATAAATTGATTCCTAAATAAAAAATAATATAAGTAATTACACAACTATGTAGGCAATGCCAGAGTATATTTGCACAACATTCTTCACACAATCTCTCCTGATTTAAACTTTAAAAAAAAAAAGCCAATACCAATTTCGTTGATGTAATGAGAACAAACAATATAAATCAAGTGAATAAAGTCTAGAGTGATCTTTGCCTCTTGGAAAAGGTGCATTTAGACAGAATCAACTGCTGTGATGATTTTTGTTAGACACTAAGATGTATGCTTAAATAGTACTGTTAAAGTTAAATTTAATCTTACATTTTTAATTTGTCTTCTCTTTTAAAAGTAAAACAGAAACAACATACCCCTACATTTGTAGAAGAGCTGACAAAGTGAATAAGTGCTCTCCCATGGAGCTAAAAAATAAGGACAATTTCTTTGGAAGACAGATGTAATACAAGTGAAAAACATTACTCAAAAATCCCCTGGATATGCAACAGGCTACAAAGAATAGTAGTGTTAATATCAAACTGGTGAGGAAACTGAAATGTAGTGATAAGCACTTAAAGTACTTGCAAGTATAGTTTTCAGTTAGAAAAGACTTTGAGCTACCAATACAACGTCTCCTAGAATCCATTACCAATACACATATACTTCTGTAGTTAGTGTAGTTGTACAAATCATTGTAACACTGGGACTATGATATGAATGTAATTTCTCCCTGAGAAAACTAAAGATATAACTTCAAACATAGCAAACATGGGAGAAAATAGCAGAACTAGCTTCTAATGACCATTGTTTTATATAGAATGGATAGTATGAATCTTGCAACGTGAAGGCAGTTGCATCTGCCCCTCTGCAAGACAGTCTCCTCTTTGGATATGGAACACTTCTTGGAATTTACTATTTCTAGTTTAAGGGTCAGGATTTTTAGAAACAAGAAGGAATGTTGTACTCCTCAGCGAGTACACGGAGACAACAGAGGGATGAATTTCTTCTGCAACAGTAGCTGGCTTCAAAAATATACTTTTTTAATATAATATTGTCACATGCATTCATGCCATTCCCAATGCCAAAGCAACTACTACAAGTACCCATCTAAATTTTGAAGGGTTATAACGTCCAATGTCTAGCTACACAAGGTTAGTGGGGCAGCTCCGGAAATAACTTCGTAATAGCAGATGACACTGAGTGTATCAGAGAAGTGGAAAAGTGGAGCACAGAACTCCATTACTCCACTAATTATATTTGAATGAAGACACTTGGCCTTCCTCTCTCACCTGAGAGAGGAACTGAGAACTGACATGTCATTAGTAGCTCTGATAAAATCAGCCAGCCTGAAAACCTGTGTTAACTGCTGCCAGAAGATACTGACAGAAATACCATGATCAAGATATCACAACGCGCTTCTTAAGAGGTCAAGAAGTCTTCCTACTGGTGCTTTGATAGAGGAAGTACTCATTTACATTCCTCATGTTCAACAAATCTGGTCTGGTGCACTAAGGAACAGTACACACTGAAACAACCTTAGTCAGATAGCCTGAGATAATCAGGAGGCATCTTTGTTCTCTGTTTCATGAAATTCAGTGCCTGTGCATGGTCGTCTTCAAGCTTAACTACCTGCTTTTCTTTCAAACCCTTCTGAACTAATCTTCTTCAAAACGTCACTAAGGAATGCATGAACATGAGTGTCTTGTAGCAGCATCTGTCCAGTGGTAATACAAATCAAGAGCCTTCCTTCTATGCACAAATCCAAGCATTTCCTCTTTCCGAAGCTCACCAAAAACTTACTTGTAATTTCTTCGAGACAACAGAAAGCATAAAAAGGAAATAAGAAAACCATGGTAAAATAAAATACAAACTAAGCTTCCTAGCCTGGATCTGTGGAGTCTCTGACCCTTGAGATACTATTATTTGACAGGAATGCTCTGAGCAGCCACATCTAAGTGAGCCTTACATACGTGGTAGCTTGGATCAGATGACCTTACAACCTAAGCTGATTCTGCACCACACAGTAAGGATGACTTAGGGAATATAACATCTGCTTTACATCCTTCAACAGAAACAGCCTTGAATGAAGTCCGAGAAAACACTTAAAAAGAGAACTGAATGAAATGTTTGAGTACAAAAGCTGTGATGGTCTGTTTATAGACAATCCTAGAAAGAAAATAAATAAATAAATAAATAAATAAAAGGCCAGCAGAAGGTTGCTGAGCTAACAAAGCACAAACAAAATTTTTAAGGGAGATCTTCAGAAAGGAAAATGACTTCAGAAAGGAAAGATGAAGATCATAAAGAGCATCATAGACATAAAAGTGCTGGATTTCAAAAGAGAAGATCTGTCCACAAAAACAAAACAAAACAAAAATAAAACATTCCCTCAGCTGTGAATTTCTGTTTCCAATGCCATATTAGGTAATTGCCTACAAATAAAATGTTCTATCTCAAAGGGAGCAGGAACAGATCCCTCTTTGCAGCTTACACAGAGCAATATGAAAAGCACTAAGTCAGCTATTTTGTCTTCTGCCACAGGAAATTAAAAGATGGGTCCTATGTTTCTGAGGTAAAAGATATGACATACAGGACTGCATTTTTGATGTATATTGGGCACGTTCACCATGGGGTTATTGAGAACCAAAGGAAAAGCTGACTTCCCAAAGCACAGGGCATCTGAATAAGAGGACTCTTTAAGACATGCATAGCTACTGGTTACAAGATTTTTACTTATTACAGCATCAAACCCACTTTACCATATATAGATTCAGCCTTTTATTCAATATGCAAGTGCATTTCTGAAATAAGGATGTGCTAATGTTCATAGATGAGTGGGGCCTATGAGTACTTCTGACTCATTTTGTAATTCCTATGCCTGCAGGGTAGTTTTTGTTTGAATGGCAATATATGGGTACATGGAAAAATTGCTGAATACTTACAAGATTATGCTTATTTGTTCTGAAAGTTTACTACCATGGATGTATTTTGTTTTTCTGTTTGTTTTTAACATTGATTATGAAGGTCTTATGCTCCTGACCACTGTTAAACAGTGCCACAGCAGAATATAAGACAATATGGAAAAGATTAAAGCTAATTTCATAGCATGCACAAACATGTGAATTGTATTTTATCCTTTCTCTTTGCTCATGACATCCAAAGCATGCAAAGAAAAAAAGCCATGATTTTACAGAAAGCCATGCAATGGTATATAAAAAACCTGAGCTAGAGTTTAATTATTGACTTAATAACTATAATACACAAACACTACCAGTCAGATAAATTTTCTTTCATTCTATATTTCCTCTATATTTCCAAGCCTGACAACTTATGAGGGCTGCTCTAAAAGTGATGCTTCCTATTTTATTATATTTGACTATGTCAGAGGTGGATGCTGGTGGTACGGCAGCAGAGGTCAAACCTTTCCACCAGTATTCTGTGTCATTTTATTGCAGTGCAACAGATGGGGACAGTATGACAGAGTGGTGTCTCACATGGAAATGTGTATGAAGCAAAGGTGTGTCAATGAATTCCTCCATGAAGAAAAATGGCACCCACTGACATTCACTGATGCTTGCTGAACATTTATTACCAATCAGTGATTGTGAGCACAGTGAGGTGGCGGGTGGCACGTTTTAGCAATGGTGACAGTGGGTCACCTTCGCTGATGCAGATTTTTATGAATATGGCATGCAGGTTCTTGTTCGTTGGTGGCAAAAACGCGTAGCTAACTGTAGTGGCTGTGTTGAAAAACAGCGTTTTGTAGCTGGGCATTTGCTCTATCAAATAGATATTGAGCTTTTTGTATCTGTTGTAGTTTCCCTCAAAATAAATAGAAGGCATTAGTTTCAGAGCAAGCTATGTGTATAATTAACAAACACCATGAATGTGAGAGTTCTTAGCTCCTGAACTTCATTTATCCAAACATAAATATTTCTTTTTAAACCTGTCATTTGATTATGAAGCAACTTAAGTTTATCTACCAGAAATTTCACGTAGATTTTAGTAAACATGCCTTTTCAGGATTTTCTACAAAAATATTTGTTCACAGATACGTATGTATCTATATATAGATATGCATGTACGCAAACATTTATAATGTATATGTACTTAAAAATATACTCTTCAGATTATATTTACCATGCCATGGCTTTGTTAAAATTCAGGAAATGGTTTTGGCACAGTTGACCTTAGATGTTTAACTCTGAAAACTTTCTTTCACTGTCACACTGATTTGTGACCATCACCTTGCTGGCCTGAAACAGTAAATCTTTACTAGTACACTTTTATATATTGGCACATCATCAAAAATAGTGAAGATCATATTATAGTAGTGTGAAAAGATGGGAGCTGCTTAGGAGACACTTATGCTCATTTATGTTGTCTGTTCAGATATTTATGACTACTTCTAGAGATAAAAATTATAAATTACATTTACATATTTATGAGCAATTTTATGTAATATTCAAATTCCTTTTAAAATGCCATTAATATCCCTATTTTAATATAATGAGAGTTGGAAACGGAACTAAAATGTATTTGGTTTTCTTTTTCTCCTAAACTCCCCTACATTTAAGCATCCAGAAAAATGAATACAATGGTAACTGATAAACAATGAAAATAATCTGAACTTCGGGGCACAATTAGAAAATTGGACAGAAAACAAAACAAAAAACAACATTTACCTATTATACCACAAATCTAAAAATATCTTTGCCAGTTTGAACAGCAGGAAAAAAAAAAAAAAAAAAAAAAAAAAAAAAAAAAAAAGAGGTAATATGTGGGCTGCATAACCATGCTTTGTACATTGAAGAGCGCAAGCAGGAACTCACCTCTAGCTCTGTTCTTTGTAGCAGCCACTGGAAGCAAGGAAAAGATTGCACAAGAACAAGAGAACAAAGATAGATTAGATAGAAGTTTGAGTAAGAAAGAATACAGAGAAACTTTATCACTATTGATTCAAAGCTAACAAACACTGTTTCTAGGATTATTTGACCTATTTGAGACAGTACAGTTCTACAAGAAAGTTCAGATCTATGATTCTGTCAGAAGACCTGTGCTGTTATGCTTAGAAAATATATCACAAGACATTCTCAAGAAGCATGGCAATGACCAGTGAAAAATCATGTACCATTAATCACATATAGGTGAGAGCATACCAACATAGATTTCTGAATTCTAAACTTAAAGCACAATTTGCCTTCCTAAAAACTAATTCTGAAGAATCTACACATCATATATCAGCCTTTTATTCCTGCCTCTTGATATGTAAATGTCCTGTAAAGCTATTTAGAGTAAACATCAGTTAAACTGCAGTTACTTCAATTATTCATAGTCTATGTTATATGATCATTGGTTTTCCTTCATTGAAGCATGTATCTTCAGATTGTTCTCGCACCCTAAGTGTGCATCCACTCATGTTAATGAACATGCAAAGCAAACAGAGCAGACAATACTTTAGCAGTGACCAACATTCCAAATCACAGAAAAAGAAGAAGGCAGAACAGCCTTTGTTACATCTCCCAGAGCAACACTGCTTCATACTACTATTATTTGCAAAGGCACAACACAATCACAATAACAAAGACAGGATCTTAAAATATCCAACTTCCATCTTCCCTGCCTCCCAAACTGGCAGAATAATTATCTTCTGTTTTCTGAAGCTCGTAGCTAATGTTACACAATGTAAGAAACTGAAGAGTAAATTTGGACACTCTGTTAGCTGTAAATTACATAAATGATACTATCCATAAGTCTTTAAACTCTCACATGCATTGTGAAAATGCATTCGAGGAACAGGTACCTTTGGAAAAAGAAATCATAATTCATCTTCTCAAAATCCTCTTCGTAATTCTCTTTCTTGTAAAATGGAAATACACTACAGTTCAAAAGTAGTTATACTTGTGATCAGAATACATAGAAAAAGGAGCAAGACTAAATTATCTCTTTCTGTTCTCTTTACTGATCTCCTCCACACGTCGATTTTCAGTCCTTTTTTCCCCCCTCCTTTTTTCACCAGTGTAGTGTCTTGCCAATCAGTCCTTAGTAAGATAAGTAAGGAGAGCATGGTGTTGATGTCCAAGTTGCATATATTGTAGAAATTTTAGGGAAAAAATAAAAATAAATTGATTTTTAATTTTATGAATGTCATTTCTCAAGATTTTTGCTCATCTTCACAGATCCCACTTCTACTTTCAGTGGCACTATTCTACATTGTCACTGTTATCCAGGAAAACAAAACTAAGAAAGCAGTTCTGTGATATATGAAATCAACATTACTCCACAGAATGACTGCTGTGGGGAGGTACAACAAATGCAGACACTTCCACAGTGCTACAGTCTTACAATTAATTTTCCATGGGGCTATTTAACAAGACATAGCTGCAAAAAAATCCAGTAAATCTTACACACACTAAATATCACTTCAGTAGTAAGCAAAATTAATGGTGCCATTCTAATTTTATAGTTTCTCCTTCATGCAAATATAAGTTGATAATGAATGCGCTGAGTTCAAACTGTTCATTTTCTTATTCTTCCCCTACTTTCTCAGTTCTGAGAATAATATATATGTGAAGACATTATCAATTCAAGCTATAATAATGATTTAAACTTAACAAAGGTCTGGAGAAAATCTCCCCAGGTAATTTAAAAGGAACAAGAGAATTTGTATTTATTCATTCAAAATACAAAGTTATATAAAATCTGTACATAAAAATTACATAGGTACTGTAATTGTTCAGAAAAAACATGTATATACATACATTATGGTGATACAAAAATTAAGTGTATGCATGTATATATGTATATATTAAAATAATCCAAAAATTTTATGGTTAGATGGTTTTATTTTGAAGCTCGAGCACTAGGAAAAGAATTATTACCTACCATCTATTAGTAAATAAAGAAAAGACAGAAATGAGGTTGTGCATAAGTGGAAGTAGGACAGGTTACTGAGCTTGTTAGACCAATTATAACACTCTGCATATTCACTGATAGAGAACTAGATGACAGTAACCTTCTTAAAAATGTCATGTTCAATACTTGTAAGTTTTTCCATTGACAGCAAGGTCCAATTACAAGTCAATTCGTAAAGTTCAAACTGCACAACAGCCAAATTAGCTACAAAATGTCTTTCAAAATATAATTCTGCCTACTGCAGGGAACTAGCGGGAGCTGTTTCCATCAGTGACCCATTTTTTTAATACCTAGCATGAAGAAAATTTCCTTTTTCTTACTGTCATTGATGTTGGTCTTTCTTCTTCCAAAGGTGAAATATTTTTTCTCTCTTCCTTATTTGCCTTCTTGATGTATGCAAAGAGGATGTTATTTTTAAACTACACGTTTGGAAATTTTTATCCATCTCTTCACCCTATTATTACATGGAAGGTCATAGGAGGAAACTAGCAGAGATGTTTCAATTGAGCATCTCTAACACCGAAAATTAGCAGAGGGAAGCTGATCTCTTGCTTAGAGCACCTGACACAGGATAGCTCAGCTTTTCAAGCCATTGGAGTCAGTTACAAATGACCAGTGGGTTTCATGAAATAACATTACTTTTGCAATATCTACATGTACTTCATACTGTCTTCAGTAAGTCAATTATTTCTCTGCACTTCACATAACCACTTGTAAAATGGAGATAAAATATTCCATTTGTCTCCACTGTGACTTCCCTCCTGTACAACTAAAGATAAAAACTCTCCAAGGCAGTGAGCCTCCTTCTTCTCAAAGTAGTACACTATCAGGATTCTGATTAAATTTGAAACTTCTTTAATACAACTAAAGTGGATTAGAATAGCCAGTAACTATTTATGGGTACAATGTAAGCTGAAAACTGTAATTCAGGTTATTTGGTTGGTATATACTTTATCTGGCTAAATTAATAAGTCAGTCAGAAACTGGACAAACAGGAAAGCAAATGACTTAAAATATTTCACCAAGTTCAGGCATTTGTTTAAAAATCTGAACGCATTTCTGAAGTCACAATTCTTTGAGCTGTTCAGCCCTATCTTTCTTAAGAAATTGATTCTAGATAGAGAGGCACACTACAGAAAAAAATTGAGCAATAACTTTGTTGGAATTTAAGGAAGTTTTTAAAGACATGAGAAGATGGCATGAGAAAGAAGAAAGACCACACTCTCTAAAGTGAGGCTGAAAGACATGAGAGACTCTACTAGATTTCTAGGTAAGATTGAGAAAAAAATAAATCTTAAGCCCTTGGTTCTGTCAAGATTAAACAATATCCTGAAGTCTCTTCCAGTACACACAAAACAAAAGGGTTGGCTGTTAGGGGGAAGTCTAAGAGTGAGAGAATCATAGAGCATGAAGAGTTCAAGGTTAGAGATCTCAGTGGATTCCATTCTGGGAGATCAGGATAGGGGATGAAAGTTGAACTGAGTTCTGAATCACATCAGTTAATTTTCACAGAACTAAGATTTTTTTTTATAGCATCTTAAAATCAGAAAAACACGTACAGTTTGCTGTAGCTCTACTACTGAGAAAATGTGTTTAAAAATCATTGCTTGTACGTAGAATGCTGGGTTCGATTCTTAAAAATCGTAATACATTCCTACTCTCAAATATCAATAACATATTGCTTTATTTTTCTGTGATATATCTTTCCGACTCATAGTTTTTTGTATGCCAACAATTGTTAAATTACATTCTTTGATAAATGGTGGTTACAAATTGTTCAATACTTTTTCCACTCTCAGCTGTCTCTATGCTTTTCAATTCTGTGGCCATTTTCAGACAGATTCGATATAGCATTTATTTTATTTTTCTCTTATATGTGATTTATTATTTGATTTGGGATCTTGTTTTTAGGAAAAAACAAAAATCACATGCTTCCAATTATTTCAATAGCTCAATAAAAATAAAAACAAGGAGGAAATATTTCTCCCAGATGTCCAGCCTGCCTAACTTTTTATTTCAGAAAATAAAAAGAAAGTAAAAAGTGAAAGTGAAAGACATCAGCGTTCTGTTCTCATTTCATCTATTAAGAACACAAATAGAGGAAAACTAGTGCAGTATCTAAATGTTACAATGATCTAATAGCTCTTTGCAAGAAAACACACAAGATGATAAAATAAATAAAAATAACCAAAAGAGTATTAAAAAAACATCAACGCACATTCCATATTTTCAAAAGAGAAGGTCTAATTTTTACTACTTAATTTAGAATTTTCCTTTTAAATTTATGATGACAATGTCAGCAATGTTACCTTTTCCCTTTGGATAAACTGATGGATTACCACTGGTCATTTAGGTCACCTAAATTCATCTCTGCTTGACTAACTGGAAAATTTCCTCTATGTGACAGAAGACTCAGAGGGATCATTTTCTCAAGAGAATAATGCAAATTATTATGCGCTCACCAGCTGGGTAAGAGACCCACTGAAAACAAAGATACAGGTATATGCTGTATTGTAGCATGCTTTGTAGACTATATTTTAATAATACCATTTTTCAAAAGCCACTGAAGGAGAAAAGCACCATAATCACCAAAATATCACCAAAAAACTGGAGTGAGATTTTGGGTATCTTGCATTCAGGAAGATATTGCTGCCATTTCCATGATGAGCTGATGACAGAATCATGGGACCTTGGGAGTTCTTTGAGAATATAATTGAATGTATACGCACACATACCAATATATATATATATATCATATCATATATCATACCAAAATATATATATATATCCACCCCAGCTAACATCTCTCCTAAACAATATGTTCTAATCTACAGGCAAGACAGATTTTAAAAACTCTGTAAGTCAATTTGCAGATTCTAAAGATAAAGCAGAATCACAAATCCCGGCATCTAGCAAACCTAGAAACTAGAAACTGAGCACACAT